AATATATACAGATTTGTTCCTGCTCTTTCTTAAATGCGACTGTCTTCTATCTTTACCTTAAAGTGAACATATGCCCTTCTTCTATATGTTACAATATTGTCTCACTCCACATTTTGCTCGGTTTTCTTGTTTTACTCAATAACTACAGTCTTACCTCTTGTTAACAAGATTCTACATTCGCTGCTCTACGTTTACAAGAACTCATCGATCATCGTTAATCAGAATTTCAATTTCAGTTATCTTTAATAGCAACAGAGTTTGCTGCACGCATATAATAATTGTTCTTCTACTAGTACTTTCAGAAGTTTCAAATTATTATAGTAGACGAACATTATTGCTGGTTTAAACATAGCTGTTTTCGAGGAAATGTTCACGAGAGGTCAAATTTTTGGGCTATCACTAATTAATCACGTTTTTGGCCAAGATCATCAAACATCAAACATCAAACATCAAACAGAAATTTTAACTTCAAGTTATAGATATCAACTATAATCTATATATAAATATTTATTATTTATTTCAGGTCCTAGAGAAAGGCAATGGGCTGAAATGCCACCTTACCATCATCGTCCCCCCACGACCACAACAACAACGACAACGACTACAACTCGAATGCCGTGGAAGGATCCACGACGAAGAACAACCGCCGCTCCTCCGCGCACTCGGCCAACCAGCAGGCACTACAAAACATCCTCACCAGCCACATTATCCCAGTTACCCTGGTTATCCCAGTTATCCCAATTATCCTAACTATCCTAAACCTGAATATCCTGTGAAACCAAAAGGAGAGAAACCTCGTATACCAGAGAAGCCGAGATATTATCCTAGAAAGACGACTACAAGTACGACCACGATCAGGCCCCATGTGACGACTAGGAATCCGAGGTTCGAGCCTGCGGAACCTGGCATGCCGGATACTTGCGACACAAGTTATGATGCAGTGTCTGTTATCCGTGGGGAAGTTTTCATATTCAAGGGAAAGGTTTGTGCAAATTATTTATATACAACTATTATTTAAACTTTTTCAGTCAAAGGGATGTTTTTTGAAGATTTAAATAGTAGAGTTTCATGTAGTGATATTTTGTATCACCAAATTGCATTTTTCAATCGGATCGAACCCGATGTTCAGTTAGATATTTCTCAGCATACACGGTTCAAAAGCCAAGATTCAAAATTTTTCCAGATATTTAACTTTATTACCTTCCTAAAACGAATATCGAATAAAAAGCCAGATACAGCATAAAACCCAAATACGTATCGCAATAAAATACTAATGGCAAGCGAATTTTAATATCGCGAAACTCAGAATTCTGAATAGCTACCACACGGTGTCCGTACGATAATTCGATATCGATGAATACATATGTGCGGCCGCAGAATAATAATATTTCATTTTCCACGCCACACATATATTACATATACAAATTTTGTTTTCTTTCCAACTCGAGAGGAACGGCGTTCATAATAGATACGTTTCATTGACATTTGAATGATCTGGATTCCCTCATGTGTGCTTGAAATTTAATAAACGATTCCGGGTTAAATTGAATTCAGAGTTCGTTCATTTTATGGTGTTCCAACGCCGCCTGTTTGTGCGCATACATTAACCGGGATATTTGTTACATGCTCATATTTGTTCAAAACGAAACTGTGTTAAAGGGTATAAATTAGATTTCAATGCAAATCTCGAGTTTGAGATCAGCATAATTAAATATTTACTAAGTCGTCAATTGGAATGACAGCATGAAGCATAATTAGAGCTGAATTGAGGATGTAAAATTTTATCTTTGCACATATAGCACTGTCGTTTATTGACGAGCGTATATTTTTTATATTTAATTAACTTCCCGTATGGCAAATTATAGTAATCGCAAAAAACTAAAATGAAAATTTTCATATTTCTTTACGTTTCAAAACCTTCTGAACATTTTGACATACTTTAGAAAAAATGGATGTATGTGTGTGTGTGCGTGTGTGTATGTGCGGATGCAAATTTTCGTAGACGATTTCGGGAACACGGATCAACCGATTTGAATAATTCAAAAAACATTCGATTCGTATTGATAAGGAGACGTGCTGATTAGTTTTTGGCAAAGGCAGGTCTAGCCGTTTCGAAAAGCGGGCAAAAAATGCCGAAAACGGTAACTCAGTTTTTAAGAGAACGGAGCGTCCGATTTGAATCATTCAAAAACATTTTACTTGTATTGACAAGATGAAGAATTGATCAAATTTTCATGAAGGCAGGTCTAGCGGTTTCGGAGATCTAATGAAAAAAGTAAAAAAAAATGCCATTTGGTCAAAAATGATCATTAGACGTATGCACATCAAATATCAGATATTTTATAGAGATTTTAACAATAAGTATAAATTTTGTTTACATTCCTCTGGGTTCCGTACAGTACGATTGCTTTGAAAAAAAAGTTCAGAATTTTCAAAATATTTCAAAATACACTTGTCTTTTCAAAATAAAGTAAATTTTTGTCAAAAATTTATAGTTTCTCAAAAATCTAATTTTTCAGAGTATTTTTTTTTTCAAAAATGTTAATCGTTTTTAAAAAAATAATAATTTTTGGTACGGGAAGTTCCAGCAATTTGTCTTAAGGCTAGATGCCATGCGCCCCACTAGTTTAATTATTAACTTCCCGAACGAGAAGTTTATGTTCCAATCCAATTTGATTTTTTTTGTTTTCTCGACGTTTCAAGCTATTCTGAATCGAATGAGACAAATTTGGTAAACTTATGTGTATGTATATGTGCATGTGAACCGATTTTTGATCTTTCGTCGATGTTTTTCAAAAGCCATTCGACATAAATCGATAAGGACTAGCGTTTGTCAGTTTTCCGCGACGATCAGCCAAGTCGTTTATTTGTTACTAGCAGAAAAGTGAAAAATTATTTGTACAAAAGAGTAATAAGACCTTTCCATTATCATGATATAATAAAACATTTTATTTTATATTTTATCATACAAATATTTTTCACTATTCCTATTCCGACAGTATTTCTGGAGGATCGGACAAGAGGGATTAAAAGCGGGCTACCCAGCAGAAATCCCAAGGCTGTGGACCGGTCTGCCTAGGAACATCACCCACATAGACGCCGTCTACGAGAGACTAGATAGGAAAATTGTTTTCTTTATCGGTAAGTCTAAAAATAATATCGATGCCTTAAGGATTTCGATATCGCTTTGTCGTCTGCTTCTATCGCCATAATACGACGCGGAAACTTCTATTCTACGCCAGTTATTGCAA